CTTCAAATTCAAGAAAATTTTTTCCAAAAAAAAAATTTCTTTTTTTTTTTTTTTGCAATGTTAACAAATTTCATAACCAATTATAAAAAAAAAATTCACTTTAATGAACAATTTTCATATAAAACTAAGCCAAACGAACACTAAATTTTGATGAAAAAATAGTTTTCGAGCAAAAAAATATTTTTTTTTTTACTTTTTCCCAATGTTAACAAATTTTATAACCAATTGTAAAAAACAAAAAAAAATTCATTTTAATGGATAATTTTCATGTAAAATAAAGCCAAATGTGAAAAAAAAATCCAAAATTTCAAAAAAATTTCGGGTGGAAAATTATACCAATCAAATACACTTAATTAACAATTCCCTACAAAACAATTTCTAGGCAATTATTTTCCCTGAAAATCATTTTCTTTCCACCCATTTTCCACCCTTACAATCAAACGCACCCTTAAAGAAATTTGTAAAGGCATAACTTGCATCATAATCTTTTTCTTCAAATCCACTGGCTGATCTAGCNAGCCAAATGTGAAAAAAAAATCCAAAATTTCAAAAAAATTTCGGGTGGAAAATTATACCAATCAAACACACTTAATTAACAATTCCCTACAAAACAATTTCTAGGCAATTATTTTCCCTGAAAATCATTTTCTTTCCACCAATTTTCCACCCTTGCAATCAAACGCAGCCTAAGGTATAAAGGTAAATGATATATTCGGGAGAATGTCATTGAGATGTCTCATATTACTTAAAAAATGAAAGCACTAAAGCTTGAGCTATTTGATGATTTTCTCGTGCATTTGGTTTTGATTTCTCTTCCAGCACAATACAATCAATTCAAGGTCTATAATTGTTAAAATGAGAAGTGAAATGTTGAAACAAGAAAGTACTGAAAGTACTCACTTGGCTAGTACCTCTAAGGACAAGTTTAATAAAAGAAAGAATAAGGAAGTTGCACCCGGTCCAGCTCAAAAAAAGCAACAAAAGTTTGAAAAGTGAATCATCTGACTGTTACTTTTGTGGAATCTCGGGACACTTGAAAAAGGATTGTACCAAATACCACATTTGGCGTGTAAAAAAGCTACGTTTCTCGCTTTGGTTTGTTCTGAGGTTAATTTAGTTTCAGTACCTAGACATACTTGATGGATTTATTCCAATGTTACTACTCATATAAGTGTGTCTATACAGGGTTTCCGAACATCCAAAAGTTAAATGATGCTAAAAGATTTGTCTATGCGGGCAGCGATACAGTTGAAATAGAGGCTATAGGAACTTTAAATTATTATGAAAGATCGATTTTTATTTGGATTTGAATGAAACTTTTGTTGTACCTCTCTTAGACGGAATTTGGATCTATTTCTGTTTTGGACAAATTTGGTTACTTGTTCATTTGAAAATAATAAATTTAGTATTTTTCTTGATT